GGGGGAGGCCTGCGAATTAGTAGGTCCAGATCCCCCCAGCACCGTCTACTCCCTAAACCCAAACTCAGCCGAGACTGATGGATTATAATAAATAATGAATAAAAAAGCATAATTTGGCGAGAGACAATCGGGGAATATTTCGATATAAAGTGTTACCCTCGACTTCTTGTTGTATGATTTGGTCTTCAATGATTAGAAACGGTGTGTTGAGAGGATAACTGCGCTAGAACATCGTTTTACTAAGAAAATACACCCAAACAAACGCGATTTTTGCGATTTTTTTTTTTTTGGAGGGGGCCGGCCGCGCTCCAGGTCAATATCTCGGAAGTAACTTATTCACTTTACGGTACATAGTCTGCCTTTATTACTTAATTAATTGTAATAATATTCACAGAAATTGTAGAATAATGATTTCTCTAATTAAGTGGGTTTTTCATTTTTGGAATATTCCAAATACTTTGGGTTATGTGGGATAAAGGGCAGATTTTTTGCAACATTCCAAGAACTAACAAACTTATTTTTTGTGAAATAAAATTAAGTTATTTAGAGGAAAGGTAATAATTACAAATTCATATAAGCAAACAACCTTACGTCGTCCCATATAGGACTACCATCCTGCCAAAGGGCTTTTTCAGTAAATCAGTCCTTTTTCAGTCTTTTCTCAGTTGTTGTTTGAGGTATATTTTTTATAAATATTTTTTACAAAGAGTGAAAACACTTTGTCTTGTGCACCGAAACTGGAAGAAATCGGACAGTAAACAAAAGCGCTACATTTTTTTTGCTATACAGCTTCCTTCACTTCTGGAGGATCTGCTAGCAGAGACTTATGTGTATCCGCCAGACAATAATCATATAATTACTGGATGGTTAATTCGATGCTCACCCTGGATGTGAGTTATCTTACTGCTATACAAAAGAGGAATGGGACAAGTACGTCTCCTTGTTGAACACAGTTTGACGGAGGAATTTCCAAACTGGAACGACTCCCTAAAACCCCCACAGGTAAATGCAATCAAACGACATTATCTTTGAAAAGCCCTTTAAATGTAAGACCTCACTTAAAGAGTCGCTGCTTCACTACCTTCAGAGATTCCAGAGACAAGGAGCTTTAACTGAACAAAACTAATAGCTTGTATGTGAATTTTTCTGGTTGCCGGTTTTATATCACCGAGATGCCAGAGGGTTTTATATCACCGAGATGCCAGAGGATTTTATATCACCGAGATGCCAGAGGGTTTCACTAGTGGTATTGGGTTCAATTCTCTTATTCTTCTTTTTCAAGGCACATAATGAGGCTACCCAAAGAACGGTTTAATTTCTTGTACAATTAGCCCATCAAGATAATTTGCTTTATGTTGTATTTTGTAAAAAAAATATTGATCAAGTAATGTAGAGCAAATAAGCATTCCTACATAAGGTAAATAATTCTCATTCAGCAGTGCATCAACATTAACCAGGTTCAGATTATACATCTAGCATTCACATATCGTTTTTCCAGCGTTGATAATTGGGCTAATTGGCACCGGCTTGGGAATACTGATGGAAAAGTTGGGAGGTGTGCTGGAAGTGGGAACCATGTTCAGTGGGATCATCTGTGGACCTCTGTGTGGTATTTTTCTTGCTGGCATCTTGACCCCGTGGGTCAACGCTAAGGTAAGGTAATGTAGTGTGAATCATATCATTATAATATACACGATTTTTTCTGATTCCTGAGAGTGTATTCTCTAGAAAATATTTATTCACAGGGAGCCATGGTTGGAGGACTCACAGCATTTGTTTTGAGTGCGTGGGTAGTTGTAGGCAGTTTTGTGCATGGATCAGCGCCACGGTACTTGTCATTATCTACCTCGGGCTGTCCTGTAAACCTGACTTCTGTTGACAACATCACCGTTATCTTCTTCAGTAACTCTTCAGCTACAGACTCTTACATGTATAAGACAGTGACGAGGGACTACCAACAGATCAATTCAACTCTGAGTGACTTACCGACACCCACCACCGTCCAAGGGTTCGTATCATTTTGCAAGTAGTTTCTCTATTTTGTCAACGTAAATTCATATGTATTCATTTGTATGAGTTCATATAATGAACTCATTTGTGAAAGTAAATCCATCACATTACTTTCATGCAACTGTCTTAAGAAAGGTAAGAAGAACATTTCATTCAATGACATTACCAATGCTTTTTCTTTGTTTTATTCCATCAGATTTTCTTGATCATTGTTAAACTACGATTAAACAAGTGCTTTCACACTACAAGAATTCCAGGATGCGATTTTAGAGCGCATTACAGCAGGATCAGTTGTCAGGTAAACTTCTTAACAAGAAACCGTGTTCCTAGCGAAGGAATCTTAACTGAGGAACTGGAATAAATAAATAAATTAATAAAACCTTTTTTTCACCGACATGTACAAGGTATACAACCGTAACGACACAAAAAAAATAACTGTTAAAAAGCCACTTGTTATGCTGGAATTTCGCAAAATTTTGACAGTTTTGGGCATCCTTTGTTTCTTCCCATTTCCCCGGGCTGTTGACCCTGCTTTTTTTGCTCCCCAATAAAAATATAATACTTAAGAAAAAACATTAGATATTGGGGAATGATTCATGTTATTTAAGTGTATTATTTTTGTCAAGCTGGGTCAATGTCAAATGAGGTCCAAAATCACGTGAGGTACCAAAGTCACGTGAGGTACCAAAGCACGGAAGGGGCAATTTTTTTGGACAAGTGTTGTGAAGTAAATTCTGTTTGTGCCTTATGAACTTTGGGGAAAAAAAACAGTAATATAAAAACTACATGAATCTAAATTGGTACCTGGGCATTGGGTTGGGGACCCGGGTTAATATGCTCCCTTGCATTTTGTAAAAAATGTAATGCCAGTTTTTCGAATACAGCACATGCGTTTTTTTCAGGAGCTCGGTAAGTAGCAACACCCGGGAGCATAGAGCCTTATTTTACATGATGTCTGAGGTAGTAGCAACACACCCAGGGCACTGAGATGTATTTGACATGATGTCTGAGGTAAGTGAACCACCCCAGGGACTAGGATGTATTTGACTTTTGGGATTTCTGTTTTTGGGGGAAAGTGAAACCCCCGAGGAGCACTGACACTGTATTTGCTGATGTCTGAGGTAATAGCAAAACACCGAGGAGCACTGAACTTTTTTTAAAGATGTCTGAGGTAAGTAGAACACCCCGAGGAGATAGGCCTGTATTTGCATGATGTCTGAGGGAAGTGCAACACACCGAGGGGCACAGAGCATGTTTGAACGATGTTTGAGGAAGTAGCAAACCACCGAGGGCCGGCATGTATTTGCATGATGTTGGGTAAGTAGCAAAAACCCCCCGAGGGAAAAGGGGACTGTTTTGACATGAGTCGAGGTAAGTAGAAAAAACCCCAGGAGCACTAGAGCATGTATTTGAATGTGTCGAGGTAAGTAGCAACACACCCCAGGGCACTAGAGACTGTATTTGACTGATTCTGAGGTAAGTAGCAAACAACGAGGAGCCTAGGCATGTTTTGACTGATGTTGAGGTAAGTGAACACACCCCAGGAGACTGGCCGTATTTTACCTTTTGTCTGGGTAGTGCAACCCCCCGGGGCCTAGAGCATGATTTGACTGTGCTGAGGTAAGTAGCAACCACCCCAGGGGCACTAAGACTGTATTTTACATGATGCTGAGGTAAGTAGCAACCACACCCCAGGAGACTAGGCACTGTATTTGTGTGTCGAGGTAAAGTAGAACACCCGGGGAGCCGAGCCCCGTATTTTGACATTTATGTTTGGGGGAAATAGCAACACCCGGGAGACTAGAGCCTGTATTTTACAGTGTTGAGGTAAATAGCCCCCCGGGACATGAGCCGTATTTGAATGTGTTGAGGTAAGTGCCCCCAACCGAGGAGCACTGAGAGTTTGACTGGTCGAGGTAGTAGCAACACACCCCGGGGCACTAGATGTATTTTACATGATGTTGGGAAGTGCAACCCCGAGGGCATGAGCACTGTATTTGGCATGTGTTGGGTAAGTAGCAACACACCGAGGGGCACTAGAGGATGTTTTGACATGTGTTGAGGTAAGTAGCAAAACCGGGGCCCAGAGCCGAATTTGCTGAGTTTAGGTAAGTGAACACACGAGGAGCCTAGAGCAGTATTTGACATGATTCTGAGGTAAAAGCAAAACACCCCAGGAGCACTAAAAAGCATGTTTTGAAAGATGTCTGAGGTAGTAGCAACCCCCCGGGGCACTAGAGCCTGATTTGACATATGTTGAGGGAAGTAGAACACCCGAGGGATAGGCACTGTATTTGCATGATGTCCCGAGGGAAGTGCAACACCCCGAGGAGCACAGAGCACGTTTTGACTGTTGGAGGTAAGTGCAACCACCCGGGGCATGAGACTGTATTTTTACATGATGCTGAGGTAAGTACAAAACACCCCAGGAGCACTAGGCAGTATTTGACATGATGTGGGTAAGTTGAAAACCCCCGGGGAGCCCTGGACTGTTTTGACATGTGTCTGGGTAAATAGCAACACCCGAGGGACTAGAGCACTGTATTTACTGTGTTGAGGTAAGTGAAAAAAACACCGAGGGCACTGAGCCCTTTTAGCACTGTATTTGACATGATGTCTGAGGTAAGTAGCAACACACCCGAGGAGCACTAGAGCACTGTATTTGACATGATGTCTGAGGTAAGTAGCAACACACCCGAGGAGCACTAGAGCACTGTATTTGACATGATGTCTGAGGTAAGTAGCAACACACCCGAGGAGCACTAGAGCACTGTATTTGACATGATGTCTGAGGTAAGTAGCAACACACCCGAGGAGCACTAGAGCACTGTATTTGACATGATGTCTGAGGTAAGTAGCAACACACCCGAGGAGCACTAGAGCACTGTATTTTGGGACATGATGTCGGGGTAATACAACCCCCCGGGACACTAGAGCCCGTATTTGACATAAATTCTGAGGTAAGTAGCAAAACCCCCGGGGGCACTAGAGCACTGTATTTGACATATGTCTGGGTAAGTAAAACCCCCCGGGGAAAGCCTAGGCACTGTATTTGACTTTATTTCAGGAAAGTGGGCAACAAAACCCCGGGGAAAGCACTAAGCACTTTTATTTGACATGATGTCGGGGGGGTAAGTAGAAACCAAACCCAGGAGCATAGAGCACTGAAATTTGACATAAAGTCTGGGGAAGAAAGCAAAAACCCCCGAGGAGAAATAGACACGTATTTAAACATAAAGTTTTGGGTAAGTTAACAACCACCGAGGAGCCTGGGAGCCTGTATTTGCCATGATGTCCAAATTCATTTTTTTTCCCTTCCATGCCCACTAATACGGAAAACCATCATAAGTGCAAATATGCTTTAAACTAATAAATTAAAAAAAAATTTAATTTTTAAATTTTGTTCACAAATAACCCGCACTTTAAAAAGAGAGGAGTTTTAAGACGAGGGAGTTTGGGGTTCCGACTTTGGAAACCAATTACATTTCACCTAACGAAAAGGGAACAAACAAAACGAACAAGTTCAGGAAAGTTTCCCAAAAATTTGTGATGAGCGGGGCAACGGGACAGACAAAAGAAAAATTTCTGGAGGGAGTTTTTCTTCTGTTGAGACCCCGGGGTGGGTTGACCCGGGGAGGAGGGACAGACGAAGAAAATTGCGGAGGGGAGTGTTTTTTTCTGTTGAGACCCCGGGGGGTTTTGGGGCGGGGAGGCGGGACAGCCCAAAAAAATATTTGCTGGAAGGGGGTGTTCTTCTGTTGAGACCCCGGGGGGTTGAGCGGGGGGGAGGGGGGACAGACAAAAAATAGTGCTGGAGAGGAGTGTTTTTCTTTTTGAGACTCCCGGTGGGTTGAGGGGGGAGGACGGGAACGAGGGAAAATTTGCTGGAGGGGAGTGTTTTTCTGTTAAACTCCGGGGGTTGGGGGGGAGGACGGGACAGACGAAGAAAAGTGCTGGAGGGGAGTGTTTTTCTGTTGAGACTCCGGGGGGTTGAGGGGAGGGAAGGGGACGACAAAGAAAGTGCTGGGAGGGTGTTCTTCTTTGGGGACCCCGGGGGTTGTGGGGGGAGGACGGGACAGAAGAATAGTGCTGGAGAGGTTTGTTTTTTTCTTTTGGGAACCCCGGGGGGTTTTTGAGCGGGGAGGAGGGGACAGACAAAGAATAGGCTGGGGAGGGTTTTTTCTTTTGAGACTCCGGGGGGTTGGGGCGGGGGGGAAAGGGGACAAACAAAAAAATAGTGCGGGAGAGGATGTTCTTCTTTTGAGACTCCGGGGGGTTTGAGGGGAGGAGGGGAAGACAAGAATATTTGTTTGGAGAAAAGTGTTCTTTTTTGGAGACTCCGGTGGGTTGTGCGGGGGGGGACGGGAAAAGACAAAAGGAATAGTGCTGGAGAGGATGTTCTTTGGAGACTCCGGGGGGTTTTGGGGGGAGGAGGGGACAGACGAAAAATATTTCTGGAGAGGAGTTTCTTTTTGAGACTCCGGTGGGTTGAGCGGGGGGAGGGGCCCAGAGAAAAATAGTGCGGGGAAGGAGTTTTTCTTCTGTTGAGATTTCCGGGGGGTTTGAGCGGGGAACGGGACAAAAACAAAGGGTATAGTGGGGAGGAGTGTTTTTTCTGTTGAACCCGGGGGGGAGGGGGGGGAAAAAGGGGACAGCAAGAATATTTCCGGGAGAGGAGTTTTTCCTTCTTTTAGACCCGGGGGTTTTGAGGGGGGAAAGGACGGGCCCAGCCCGAAGAATAGTGCTGGAGAGGATTGTTCTTCTGTTGAGACTCCGGGGGGTTTGAGCGGGAGGAGGGGACAGACGAAGAATAGTGCTGGAGGGGGAGTTTTTTTCGGGTTGAGACTCCGGGGGGTTTGAGCGGGGAGGAGGGGGCAGAGGGAAAATGTGCTGGAGAGGAGTGTTCTTCTTTTTGAGACCCCGGGGGTTGAGCGGGGGGCGGGACAGACAAAGGGAATAGTGCTGGAGGGGAAAGTGTTTTCTGTTGAGACCCCGGTG